GCCAAAATACGTCGGTGTATCACAAGAAAAGAAAGCGGATGGACATACATATGGAAAGAAAAGCTTAGATCGATTCAGAAACTGACTCTGAATCGGCCGGTATCTGAATGAGTGTGCCTATCACAAGTCTTTGTAACTACTGCATGCATCCGCCTTAACCCAATACACCCTCGTACCACAAATGGTGAAGGGTGTAGTGGTTAAAACTAAAGATTTGTTATCTTACGGCCATCTTAGGAAGTGTATGTTATGTTCAACAAATATTTCTAATCCTTTAAAAACAGGCATCAAAATGCTATATAGAAGATACATAGAAAAGTGTGCGCAGCGTGGACATCTTGACCTTGTCCGTGCGTCAGTTCATTGTAGGCATTGTTGTGATTTCGACAGCTCGTCAGATAAGGTAAGATTTGCTTTATATTACATTTCTTCACTCGCATTTTATTTGTTGTCGTCGTTTTCATAGCGTGTCTACGTGACGCTTATTATTTATAAAGCAGTTATAAGGTAAGATGACTACGCTTATATAACACGTTAGGCTTACAACGCTTGCAAATGAATATAATACATGTAAGGGATCAATGCCATCTACTCTTTAATGACATGCAGCAAACTATTTCAAAACGTATTTATTCGCCTTCTTTTGGAAACGTTGACAAAAGAAATTTCTTTTATTCTCTTCATCACTTGTGGTGCAGGATACATAAACTTTGTGCGGATGTATGTAACAAGTAGAAGGAATAAAGATAGGCTCTATTTTTATTGTAATGATTGATTCAAAATCACTTTTCGAATCGTCTTAAGCTTGTTTTCCGTCTGTCTATCAGTCCACCTGTCTACCTGTCCGTCTGCTATCTGTCTAGGTATTTTTGCGCTCAACTTTCAGGTCACAATTTTTAAAATAGCTGAAAATTGACACATCGACCTGTCTGATTCAAGGGCGAACCCGTATTCCTTATTCTGTAAACGTTGTTATGAGCAAAAGATTGAAATTTGCAAAATTTTCCAACGAAAAGGGCTAAGTAATGGTATAAATTGTTGTGAAAAATTTGGATTGGTTAGATTGGTCCTGTGAGAGGTAAACCTTTACATCGCTTTATATTGCTTTATATTGTATAATTCTATGATGCAAATCGGCTCCGAAAACTGATTTAACACAAAAACTAACTTCATCAAATTTGGTACGCGCAGGTCTACTTCTTAAATCCCACCCGATGCCAGGATTGCCATGGGAAGGGAGCCTTTACGGCATACGGCAAAGAGGTGCAATCTTTAATCAGTTGATTTTCGAAAATTATAGAAGAGATGTAAGAATGATGACATAAGTATTAACTTTACCTAGAGTTATTCTTTGCAACCCGTGCGATATAAAGTTTCTCATTAAAAGTGATAATACAAAAGGCAACGTAGCAAAAAGTTGAATTTCCAATATCTTAGAAGGAAATCTAGTCGACGCTACCAATTTGAAAGAGAAGTTAACCTTAACACATTAGGACCACATAGAGCTATTGTCTGGACTCGTCAAGTACGCTTTCATATAGACGCAAAGTATAGTATTTTGTATTTTATTGCGAAAATAAATGAAGAATTGGATAGGGTATTTGCAGGCTGCTCCTTACCGACGATAATGTATTTAGTTATTTGTAGAAAGCTTTGGCGTATCGAAGCAAACCCCTTTTCTTGTTCTCAGCGCCTGAAAATACGTGTCTGCAGCTTTTTTACATTGTTTTTTTTTATCAATTAAAAGAAATTCTCTCACTTTTCAAAAATTTCTTAAAAATTCCGTATTCACTTTTCTTCCCAAAAAATTGTCCTCTTTTTTACACAATAGTTTTTAAGCATTTGTTAATTTGTTTATTTACTCTTTACCTCTTCATTTGCCGCAAAAGCACGTTGAAATTTCCTACATTGAAAACGTTCTTAACACGACCTTAATTCCTAATGGGATGGACAGTGACAAATAGGAGCTGATCATGTGCTTGATTAAATAGTGGAGAAAAAAAAAAACTTTTTAAATAAATAAAAACTTGTGCTAATTAATGTGCGACTCACATGCCGTGAATGCATATAGAACGTGAATGAGTTTATCAAAGATTACGTTTTATGAACGCTTTCTTCAATTACGTTTCTCTCTACGTTTGTTTATATTCTGTGAAAACAATTTAATTTCAATTTTATTTCAAATCAGTAGCGAACTTGCCCGAGACTGAAACGAATGTATTTCATAAACTACAGAAGTATATGGAATTAATTATAAAGATTTCAAGCAAAAGACTCCTGAGAAATAACAATTAAAGTGTATCGTGCTTACCTAGTATTGCAAAGAATTTCTAATAAATAAAAATTCCGAATGATCGACATTTATAACCCAGAAATGGTTGTAGTCGGCAGATCAACTAATTTCATTATTTCGTTTTTATATTTAGGGTTTTTTTTTATACCGATCTTTTTGAAAAACTTAAGGACCGTATAAAACTTAAAAACCTGTCAGTCCCTCCATCCGTCCTTTTTCTTTCACTCTTCTACGGTTGCTATCTTCACGTTCGAAAAGCTATGGATAAAATATTAAGACTTGATTTTTGACAGACAGCCACCGACTCAAAACATTTAAAATTCATCATAATAAGCCTTAAACCTCGTCTGCAAAAGTTGAAAATTATAACCCATAAAACCTACGCAAAAGTCTTCCTGATCATAACCATAGAAAGAAAAATAAGATAGAACTAGAAATATAGTCGTGGAGGACCCCCGATTAAATACTCCACACCATGCCCAACGTGAACTAATGCTGCCCACATGTAGCATATTTAATTATTTTGTCAAACACCTTATTATTTTGAACATTCAATCAGAAAAATTGGACTTTACTGTTCGCATGAAAAGCCTGAAATGAGATGGTGTTCAAAAAACTAGACCTACATGGAACAAATGGTCGCATACCTATGGACCAATTTTCACCATAAAACGGTTAAAATTAGATCCGTTCATTAAATAAAAGCTTACTTTTCAGGTGAATTCTTATAAGAGACGGGGTACGAACAGTTGCCTTACGAGGTGCAAATTGCCTACTGATCAAGATTTATTTTCTAGACGGCACTGCTATGACTCGTGAAAAGTATGCCTTCACATTGAAATACTTTTTAATATTTTAACCCAAAAACAAATGAACAATTGTTGTATAGGATCTCCATCTATATATGTATATGAGCTTTTCAATTGGGTTTTACAAGTAAGGATTGTATGCATTAAATTTCGTTCAATTGTCCATTGACCACGTCTTTGTTTCATTTTGATGACGACACCTATACATCACCATCGGGAAAAGTTGCTTTTCTAAAGCAATTCAGAAATATAGGCCTGCCTTTATATTTTTGAAAGAACAGAGGCCTTTATTGGACGAATTGTTGTCATATATATGTGATTATAAGTCCCTCTCTTGGTTCGAAGGACAACAACAGCTTAAATATTTTACTGTATCTTTTAAAAATGAAACTAACGACAAATATTTGCTTACCTTTAAAAAGGAAAACTACCCTGAAAGCCCAATACCACGCCTGTGCAGGTACTCTTAAGACATTGTACATTTTTCTTGCAACGATAAAGATCGAGACGTAGTGTTCTGATGGAAATGGCATTTGTTAACACATTTACTGCATTTCTCACTTATATTTTTTCCTATCATTGGAATAAGCAGAGTCGTCAAGGGGATAGATATTTACCATGTATGGCAACTATTCACAACAAGATATTTTGGAGTGCATTGCGTATAAATTGAAAACATTTTTAGCGTAGGTAGTTGCCCATTATTTGATATGATATAATAAGATCGGTTCTATTATTGCCTTGCAAAGAAAGGTTTTTCTTTCCAAGCTTTACACTGGAATACACATTCAACACGCACTTTAAAGCACAAATTTGTTAGTTTGATCTTTATAATCTTTAAGTTGATATGGTGCGTTTATCGATCGAAGAGTTCATATATTTTGGATTTGTCTTTTATAAAGAACTGGATAAGAAAACTTGCTTTTTTCTTTAGGATAAAAATGACATTAGCGCATTCGGGAAGATCGACTTTAAATTTTCGCTTCTCAAGCACAATTGTTCCAATTTAAGTGATTTTGAAGGAAGGGGCGTATTAGCGGTGGCAGAGTTTTCCACAAAAGTTTACATGCAAGCGCTATGTACTTAATGATGAACTTGATACCCTGCGGTTTTTTAAATTCAAATAGGCCGGGCTGTTGTTAACAACCGTTGCAGCGAAAGTGATATACAAAGAGAACGATGATTGTGTTGTAAATTATGGAAGAATTTCTTTAACCGGCTTTTCTGTGTAAGTAAATCGTAAAGTTTTCTTTATAACTGTTTTCTTTGATCTTAGGCTCAGCTTTGATCTTAGGTGACGTCTCACTAGTAATTCACGGAAACGTACTGCGTCCTCAATGCTACGCTTAATGCTTACTACTATTACTATTTCGCTTTCGCCCCACAATTCTTTCTTTGTAGTTAAACCAGGAGCAGACCTTCAAACTTTTAAGCTGTCATTTCAATATTTTGAATTTCGAAGTTTACGACGGTGATTCGAAGGACAAAACGATAAATGAGCATGCGGTAAAAGATTGCCCAGGTGTTACTAATTTAACTGTGGAGACTCTTTCGCTCAATCTCTCGAAATGGATTTAATCGCTGGCTAACCAACTTCGGGAGTCCAGTTTATTTATTGATTACCGGCTGCTGGACTCCTTGGATGATAGGTATCGACTATGCATTGATCTTTTTTATCATTCCAGTATATCTTAAATAAGCTACCTTAGGGAATATATCACAAGATCTTCTTCGAATGAGAAAATCAGTGCAAGCCCATCTTTCAAAAATTATTCATTATCTTTAACTAAGGCGCTCGATAAGCGGCTCATATAAAATGAATAGAACTTAATGCGAGCTATTGATGACAAACACATGCGTATCCTCAATAAGTCTTTTCATTGTAATTTTTAACTTACCGTTTCTTGGGGCATCGTATTGCAACTTCTCAGAGGCAGTTTGTATCGTAGAGGACTATCATGATCTCTGCCAAGTACGGGGAAAATTAAATGATATGATTAAACGGAGTAGGAGAAATTAGCATGCTGTACCTGTATTCTGTAAGACATGTCGAATTCTTCGATAAACCCCTTGGATAAATCATCCCGCTGAATAAACCTGTTTCATGATTTGTTGGTGGATCTTTAATGGTTATCAGCATCGAGCCCGATAAACATTTAATTTTCACTGTCGGCTCAACTGATGTCTTGGTTGACGTCGGAATACTTTCATAGTCCGTGAAATGGTCTTCTGTAAGTGAAAATAAATACTTTATCTTTATATTCTTGTCAACGCACATCTTAACATTTGATCTTAACAATCAATCAGTGAAAAAAAAATTAATGTACAAAAACAAACCATCACAAAATGTATTTTAACGAAATTAATCAGAGAAAAGTAAAAAAAAAAATTCATCTTTTTCCAGCTAAAATAGACAATCATTCACACACACCACAAAAAAAAAGAAGAAAAATAAGAAAAAATTTATTATGATCAAAAAACATGAGGAGACCTAAAAGGTGCGGCTTTATGCGGAAGAAGTCACCGACAAACTTAACAAAAACAACGACATTATAAAAAAGAAAGATGCAGGTAAACGACAAAAATAGCAACAAAAACAATAGCATAGTAACAACACCAATGCATGCAACGTTAATGACATTGAACGGCAGCGGCAAAGAAAAAAAATGGTAAGACATGTACGTATATAAAAAAAAGACAGAAAAGATAGACAGAAGCTCACGCATACGTACACTTCACACACACATACACATATATACATGCATACGTAGATATGTTGAGTTAAGGCAGAGAGCCAGTACATCAGTCTGTAAAGACTAAGGCTTTAGCGTGATCGGCTAAAGACGACAGCGGCTCGACTACATATGGATAAACGATTTTTGTACGAAAGGCAAGGAAATGCAGAGTATTTCTGCTGCTTTTGTGTTTTTATTTATTTTTTTTTTAAGTTTTCATGGCAAAAAGATCATCAAGATTACCAAGTGTATTGGAAAGAAAAGAAGACGAAGAAGCACATGATGATGGTAACGACGAAGGAAGCTTAGTATGAATTATGCATGAAATTTGTTGTTGCTCTTGTTGTTGTTGTTGTTGCTTTTGCCGTTGTTGCTTTTGCCGTTGTTGCTGTTGGTGCTAATAATGCTGGGTTTCTTGCTCTTTTGGGCCATAAAAGTTTCTTGAACTTTACATACGAGACTTAGAACCTTTGCGCTGCAAAACTAAACGCATTAACGCTGAACATAATGCATTCTGTGAATTCTTTACAATAGCGTAACCTAAAACAAAAAAAGAAAACTTGCGGGTTTGCTCACACAAGCTCTGAACATGCAAAGCATAGAGTTATTCTGTTATTCTAGATAAATATAAAAAGGTAGATTGATGAACGTGGCTTTTAAGAGGAGTACACGACCACTTCCATATATCATTTATACCAGAAGTGATCCAAGTCCATTTGTGTGAAAATGGAGAGTTCAAGTTTTTCATGCGCAAGCTTTTTCTCTTTTGACATTCTTTCGTCTCTTGAGAATTCACGTCGTTCGCGCTTAGTTCTTTAGTCCTAATTTGGCAAAACCTAGTATTTGATGATAAAATTTTACGCTTCTGACAAATGTTTCGAAAATTATTGCAGCGAACCATAATTAAGTGAATTTCCTTGATTTTTCCAAGTGGGAGCAAAGAGTTAACTCTATTGTGCTCAGGTGTGTGATCAACAAAACCGGAATTTTCGTATTTACGTTTATTTTATGAAAATCGGAAATGTTTTCTTCTCCTTCTTTTGAGATTCAGAAAAACAACAACAAATCATTCACTGAGTTGAGTTGAGTAAAAAAATTCAATGCTGACTACTTCGAAATTGTGACACCAAGTGCCGCGAATCGATCTTGTAATACGGATAGGTGAACAGATGACATGTAAGAAAAGTACGCTTGTGTTGCTCTTTTCGATATACTGCCCGATTTTTGAATAGGAAATCGTTCAAATCGGTTCATTACTTTTAGTAGTACTCGGTAGCAGCCTTTCCACCAGACTTTAACGGACTACCCTCTTCTCATCACATCAAACGCAAACTATTGTTTTCCTGCTATATCTACGCTGAATCCTCATCTATTTAGTGAAAGCAAAAACTCGTTTGACCCGGCGAATTGCCGTAGGTAGATAAGAGCATACATTCCTATTAATTTATTGATGATAATTTTCCTACATTTCCCCAAATACCGTTGCTGAATGATTAAAACTGCGCTCCCATTCTGAATTTTCATAAATAAACCGCAATTGATTGTTTGATAAGGCGATAATTGTCTCGCACTGTCCAATTGGAGTAACTGGATTTCTTCCTCATGACAAAAAAAAGGATCATTGAAGATACGCGACCTTTAAGGCAACCATATGGAACTAAGGGGGTTACTACAGAATAATTTGCGTCTAACTTTCCTGTCATAACTATCTTACTTTAGCTCCATTATATTTGGTCGATGACTGAAATTTGCCTTCCTTCCTGAGAGCAAAGGAAGCTAGAGTCTTTTTGTTCCAAAAAACCTACTTGAGTCATTTTCTACGAATGACTTAAATAATAACAAGAGATATAATTGTCGTTCGTAATAATTTTGATTGCTTTAAATTTAAAACGAAGTATGCAAAAGAGAAATGTATTTGCAGATAATCACGGTCATCATTTGAGTCATTTTTTCCCTCTACATAATCCTAATATTTTTTCCGCTCTCTTGTGCTCGCCATCACGTCAAGATATTGTTAGAAATACTCTTTAATAGGAATGTTAGTGTCTTGTAGTTTGTTTGGTACATGCGTTACTACTGCTCGTTTATTCATAGCCGGGACGTAAACCGAGATGTGATTGCAAACTTACTAAAAGGACAATGTAATCTTTTTGGATGGCGTTGTAATTTTCGCATGAGAGTCTATAAGTTCTTGTCTTTTGTATCCTGAAGTTTTGCTTATACGCTTGTCTCGTTTCCTCAAAAGGGAAAAGTTTGTGATATTTTTACAAATGCACTCAATTTTGGCTTCTGTTGTCTCATTTCTTCAAATGGTTTGAAAAGTTTGAACGAATAATTTTAAGATGAGGACCTTCAAATGTTTCGCACCAAATGACTTACTTACTACGACTAATATGCTCTGGATATTTGTTAAACTGATATTTGTAATACTGCCTCGCAAAAAAATATTTAATACTTTTTAGATGAGCAAACAATTTTGAGTGTTTGTCAGTACAAAAGCTTTAATATAACCTTCCCCACACCACACACTTACAACGCATTTTTCGCATTGCTTAACCCTCAGTTAAGCTGAAAACCTTAGGAGATTTGGCAGTTGCAAGAAAGAAAACCATTCGTTGATAGGTATATCGGCAATGCGATATGCGCGCATATTCTCTATTCAAAATCGTGACGCTAGCTGCTTATATAGATATGTATGTATGTTTCTCAATGCTGTAAATTCATATCCAAATTGTATTGAACTGAATTTTTTTTGTAAATCAACCTTAAAGCGTAGACGCTTCGCTTTTCGTCATTCCTTTCGTAACGGCTAGAAATATGTGAACAAATCCTCATGAAACACAATTTTTTTTCAGTAGAAGATTTTCCATCGCTTTACTCATACCCGTACGTATTGCTCTCCGCCCATCCGTCTGTCCGCCATTGAAATTGAAGTAAATTGTCACAGTAGCCTATGTCACAGATATCCCTCTGAGCAATAGCCTAGAAATTTTATCACAGGCGCCTAATAGCAGAAAGAAATAACGCGACCATGCAACTTGTAGAAGGCTGTCTATATTCGCCTGAAAACAACTTATCCGTTTTTACACAATTTGTTCATAGTTTTCGATAATCGGTGCAAATGCGCAACAAACTTTCAATTAAAAAAAAAAAAATGTAAACCAAACGCAACCCTTCACTTTAGCGTACGTATGTGCACAAGCAATAAAAACAATTTACCAAAATCAACAACGTTCAATAAAGTTCGAAATAATCGTTGTACTCACTTGTGGGTATTTGGGCACCATGAGTCGATAGTATGACTACAATCTAAAAGCAAAAAAAAAATAATAATTTTATTTTTTCAATTAATAAATATCAAAATAAAATACAACTAAAAAAAAACTGAACGAAAAGTACCGGGAAGAGGGTGACTAAATAAGTCATACCAAGAAGCAATCAGTGAACATTTTCTCATCTGAATAGCTACATATAAGCTACTTTGAATGACTGATAGTTTGAGGATTGCGCTGCCCAACTCACTTCGAATCGTGTAGGTGTAGTAGCGATTTGCGACTACGTAGAAATCGGAATTACCAAGCCATTATTCTCAGGTTTAGAACTCAAATGCGATAAAATTTAGTTTGCTTCTAGTTAAAGCAGGTGGCCATACACTCACTAGGCTACGACTGCTACTTTACCTCTTCGTTCGACACTATGTTACGCGAATAGGGGTCATATCCAAATGAATGGTCATGTACTAAAAAAAAAACTAAGTTTCGTTTTATATTCGATAAAAGATTCAGAATATTGCTGAGCATCTTGAAGACTACACTCGCGCCCTTTTCACGAGAACAGAATGAGCATTTGAGAGAAAATGGAAACTTCAAAGAAATTAAAAATGAAAACTTTCGTAACACTTTTTAATGGTCTTAATTTTTCGCGTTAAATTCACGAGTTTCTTAAGTCACGGGCTTGACGCTTTGACTCCTCAGCAATCTTTTGAATATTCTCCCGATGATTTGCGACTCGAATTTTTCTGTTCACAACACTTTTGTGAAAAATTTGCTTAAAAATAAGAAAACAGAAGTTGCGTTCGTCTTCTTTGGACTTCTTTAATATCGCCAAATTGCCTATGATAGATAGAAGGTGCTTCCATTCCAATTGTATATCGCAGTGTATATAACGTATACGGCAAACATTTCACAATTATCGAGACGTTTTAAGGAATTCTATGAGCTAAGAGCAGTATAGAGAATATTGTGTCTTTTTTGGGCATTCTTTAATAACTTTTTGAAAAGAAGGTAACGGCACAACGTCACTCAGAAAATAAAAACATATATCTGAAACAAAACATTCTTGAAATATTAGTCAATGTACGTATAAAGGAGAATCCTTGTTGAAAATATTAATAAAAAATATTAGAAAGTATTAGAAATCGTGTCGATTTGAACTCACTACAATTGATCTTTCGAAAAAATCGGTCAACGATCACTCGAAAACTGAGCGCCTCACCGGAAAATATTTCAATGAAGTTATAGCTGAAATTTTAAGTCAATCAGTTTTATACATTATCTTTCGAGTAAACTTGTGAGACTGGAAATGAAACAGTGGCTTTATGGAAGTTTTCCATTTACGTCTACTTGGAAGGCATGGTTTAACTATTTATTCAAAAAAAAAAGACGCTGCTTGAATGTAGCCCTCATAAATGTAGCAAAATCTAGGCAGACGTCTGTTATAGGTTGTAAATCATAGTTTTCTACCTATTCCTAGTTTCATGATAAACCACGCCCATTATTCAAATTGGATTTAGGGATGTTAACAAAGAATTTATCTTCAAGGTGGATGGACACAAAAAGTGGTTATCAATTCCCATATAATTGTTGTATGCGGGCTTAGACATCAGGGATCAGTCTTCTTCTGGCTATATATAAACGATCGCCTATCAGTAATTAAGCATTCTGGCACTCTCGTATAGGCATATGCCGTTTCATTGCTCCAAACATGTAAAAGGTTTCTGCCACCTTCAGCGTGATCTGTTGCCACTAGCAAAGCGATGCGGAATTAATGGCGTATGCTTCAACGTTAGCAAGTGCCAGGAAAAACTTTGTTTTAATGACTATATTAATGATTTGGACGTGGAAACCGTATTACCTCTTGCTGTTCTAGGGCCATCCCCGAAAGTACATTGAAATTTAATCTCCAAGTGCAGTTTGTGGTTAATAAAGCCAAGCCATCTCTTACCTTCATGAGAAGGTAGGCTAAGGAGTTTGACGAATCCTTAGCCACAAAAACCTTATTTGTGTCTCGAGTTTGGCCTGCTATCGAGTAAGCCTCAGTCTTTTGACCATCAAGCTACAGCTGTTATGTGCAGTTGGTGGAATTCCTCCTTTTTATAAAAACGAGCTTGTTTCAGCTTACACTATGTAGACAAGAGAAGGTTTTTGCTGCAAGTTTCGTGGTTAAGCTTATTAACGGTGAAGGAAAGTCTTCACTATTAATTACTTTGACTTGACTGACTCCTGTAAAGTGTTAAGGCATTTCTTTCCCTTCCGCAGTTATTCACCATCTCGGATAAGAGCGTATGTTACTTAATCGATAACGTTATTGATAGTTGCTAAGCGTTGATGTTCCTGTTATTTGTCCGCTATCCATCTTTTGTCATTATAGGCGTAACTTTCAGTATTTTAAGGGGTCGGTTAAGATACCTTCTGTACTTATATCATTTATTTTGGGTATGAGTCACAATGGAATGGAGCTGCTAATAGGTAAACGAATGAACAAAAAGACAAAAAAGCTTCTAGTGCCTTTACGAATATCTTCGGATTCCAATAAGAGACGTTTGACCGACGGACAGACGAATGGACATGAAATCTTAGACTGTTCACGTATGTATATGGCTTTGCATGCTTTTTTCTTCATGTCACCTTATTTGTGCCCTTTGTGTCCTTCATAAGGGACATAAAAAGTTTACCGATAACCGATTAGTTGACGCATACTGTTGAATTGACAAAATCCAAGGTACTTTTTAATCAGATTATATTAAGCAAACGATATACGTAAATTTCTATTTATATAACTTACCAGTGTGTGCAGTGTGGTGATGTAAATTAATTGTGTATAAAATCCCATATTTGCTGCAATGAAAAAACAAAGACAAACTCAGTATAAATTAAACATTTTGTTTAATTTAAAACCTTAAAAAATTGATGAAAATTTATTATCATTGCTTAAAATTGACAAACATAATTTATTGCAGACGTTTAGGACGAGGACTTAGGTTGCATATTTTTGCATTTTTTTTTTTTCTTTTTTTCAAATTGATATCTTTTACCGAATAGTCAATCAGTCCTAAGGGTTTTATAGGCAATAAGTCTGCGTCTTTCATTTATTAGTCTATTATAAATTCAGCTTTCAGTTACGTCTCGGCGTCTTTCTGATTCTCCTGACTTAAAAGATAATTGAAATTCAAATGTCTATGTTTAGCATAATCTGCATGCGGATGGCATGATAAGCGGGAGGAAAAGCTTTAACCTTATATTATATTGGGGTCATAATCGTGATTTATAATTTAATGGAAAAATAAAAAGTACTTTTTTTTATTTACATTCTACTTACATTATATAAGAGAGGAAAGCAATATATTATTCATGTAAGTATTTATTTTCATTCCGGTTATCTAAAATAATCAACTTTTCTTATGCGGGAAACTGGATAAGTGAAAAAGAAATTATACTCGTGTGTAGTTTAAGAGAAATCATTTGATATCCCTTATTAGCTTGTTATAAGAAGTCTTTAATCGATTTGAGTATAATTTCTACAGTACGTATGCTTGGTAAGCTTATTTTCTTGCCAGATTTCTAATTGATATAACATAACATACATAACATATCAGGTTTCCACATATTGGTTTATTTTAATATTTTTTTTAGTAAAAGTTCAAGATTGTAGCATAAATTGCTTAGAGTATATTTTCAAATGCGATACAAAGTTTTTAGAATACTTGCTAGCACTTTCAAAATCTTTTATTCTCTCCCTTGTTACGTTTGTTCTGATTCCAGTCTTGATAAGCTTGTCAAACAATGATCCTTTCAATTGGTCACTCGTTGATGTTATTGATGGATAAGCAGTAAAAAAAATAACAGCATAACCTTAAAAAAGAGGAATGACATAACCGAAGAAAGATTTAATCTTGGTAAACGAATCGCCGATACGTGCTGCTTAGATATCTGCTTTGAAGAAGACGGAGGGCGTCACCTTGGATACCCTCACACTAAATATTTTAAAAATGTTTTTATTATTCTGGGCTTGATGTTTTAGTCATTTTTCCGCTCAATTTAAGTTGCGAAATGCATGTGTAAAGCCTTACAAATACATTATTCTTGAATTATAATCTGCAGAATTTGGCTTATCGTAGAACTTTGCTCCTATATTCTCCAAGTTATAAGTCAAAGTTTTTTGTTCACGGCTCGATGAGGATGTACCTCACACAGAACTAACAATTTATTAACATATTGCAAATTCTGTGACTATATGCGCTGTCTTGCAATTTCAGACGACTATCAGGAAACACTGACAGAAAATTTTCCATTTAATTACCTTAACAATCTTAGGCGTATTAAAAGAAATATTGTTAATTCATTCCAGTGCATACAAGTAGGAAATATGAATATGAATGCAAATAAAAATATAAATATGAATAGGAATAAGAAAATGAACACGAATACATAAATGTAAATATGAACAAAAATTTCAACATAGATATCGACATGAATATGAATATAAGCTTGAATAGAGTTTGGATAGTAGTGAGATATGCATGTGCATATGAATGCGAATATAAATACGGATATGGATACGGATCTGGATATGAACATGGCTATGAATATGACTAGGAATAATGAACATGGCTATGAATATGACTAGGAATAATGACTATGAATATGCACATCGATATGACTTTTAATATGCATGAGCATATTAACACGAATATGAACATAAACAGGAGGCGATGGCGATGACTATAACTATGAATTAGAATATGAATAAGAATACGGCTATGAACGCGAGTATAGTTAAGAATATGAATAATGGTAATGAATATGAATATGAAGATCGATATGACGTTGATTATGAACGTATAAATTAATATAAATACATATATAATAAATGCATATAGATATGAATATGAATACAATCATAACCGTAGGTATGAATATGATTATGAATGATAATACGACCTTGCAGTGGATATGTTTATGTGCACGGATCGAATAAAAAACAGAAATTCTTGTAATCCCTTTTTTCTAAATTTTCTTATTTCTTCCACAGTCAAATTTTCGTTGCGAACACGTATAGGACATATTGTACAAAGAATGATCCAAAAATGAGGGTGTGAAGATAAACCCGAATTTAATTAGCAAAAACACTTGCCGTATATCTTAACGAAACTGTTAACAAACAGCCAAACTAGAAAATGTCACCTATTTTCATCTATATCACTTGAAACCTGTCGAATGACAGGTATTTGAATGACTTTTCTTTCGGGAAATATTCTTAACAATTTTTTGAAATTTGTTACACGTGAAGATAGGTGACATTTTCTAGTTTGGCCGCACTAGAGTGTCAAATTTGGTTTTTCTTCATACGCATTTTTCCCTAATTTGCCAAATTTCAAAAAATTATTAAAAATAGTTCCCGAAAGACAAGTTTGAATTTGTTTAGTTTGTTTGAAAGGTATTTTTATATAGATTCATGAGATATCCACAAAAATGTTTTACGCACTTCAATATCGACGGAGTGGCCTTTCAAATCCAGCTATATACTAATTTTAGATATTTAGCACAGCTCTGTTAGGGCCTTTAGGGAGTTTTGTTAACAAATATGGTAGGCTTCTTTTCTAATTAAATTCAAATTTATCTTTACACTCTTCCTAAAAATTTAAGATATTATCCTCATACGATAATAGGCTGCAGAGAAACAAAATTGTCTTTTCGTCAGTTCAACGAATCGAAGGCTCTGCAAGCGTTACAAGTTGTAACACAAATTTAGTATACTTTCATCCTATACATTATAAAAATAACTATTAAAACACACACATGCACTAAAGTATGTTTGCAACGCAAGGCTGGCTAACGCCGGGTGATCATGATTAAAAAGATTACATTACAACGATGAGATCATAAAACGAGACTTAAAAGGAAAACAACAACTAACTGAACAACCAAACAATAACCAACACCCCATGTGCATCGCTCACATATGTGCATAAATATATATATGTGTATGTAAGTATACATATAATGAAAAATGATTTCCTTTATTTTTATTTCACTTTAGACGACCATTGTTATCCTAAGAAAATATGACACAATATTGTTAGTGAAATATTACGTTAGTTAAGAGAAAAGAAAAGGCAAAGCAATAAAAAATCTTTCAGATTTCAATTGCTTAAATTAAAAGGAAAGATTATCACTTAGCGAACTATGGACAATTACTTTTTTAAAAAATTACAAGATTGACTGTACTTGACTTAAACGTAACATACTTTATGCTATAATATTCGTTAGGCTAAATAAATAGAAAGGGGGTCATTTTGGCTAACACATGTCCTATTTGCAATGCACAGGCGATTGTCAAACCGCCATTGCAACCAATGACATGAAAATATCTATTTTGTTATTTTTTATACATTTTTTTTTTTTTTTTGAAATTTAGATCATTCACAATAAATAAGAAAAAAAACAGAAAAATTAAATTTAGGTTAAAGTAACTGACAGTGACACATACCTTAGACGGCATGTATCGCAAATGCACATCACTTGTAAACGATATATCACGTAAATAAAAACTAAAAATTTTGTTTATACTTTTAAGGAAAAAAAAAAGCACCAAAAATGCCAAGTATTTGCTTAACAGATTTCAACTAAACTTAGCAAGTTAATGAAAAACCACATGTTCTATGGAAATCGTTGAAAAACCTTAGATTAAGAGCAAACTGTTACTAAGCATGTGTTGTTGTCTATTATATTAGATACTCTTCCTCTCTTTCTATCCGCTCTCGATACCTAACATGTTGAAACCATTATAACGTAAAGCTTTACAAACACATTTGCCATTAGAAGCTAATGTCTGAGCTGAGATAGCATTTAAAAAAAATTTTTTAAACGCTTAACACGAAAAAAATTGCACATAAATTAAATGTGCAAAATGACGTAAGCGACCATATTAACGCCAACTCAAACAACTGCATGACAATCAAAGCGGAGTTTAAGTCTCTGCTTTTGATAATAGAGAGGTAATAGCTCTCAAAATACCAGCAAAAAAAAACATGTTTAGGTTTCAGTTGTATATCTTTTTTGCTTTTTTTACCCAAAACATTTTCCGTCATATATAATATAAGAAAAGGGTTCTGCTTTCATTGAAGAGAAATTCGAATTATCTCATTTGGACATATTTACTTTCTAAGTATATATCTTGGTTAAAAAAGTTCTAAGAAAATACCAGCAAATGGCTTTTTCCAAATTATTGTCTATTGCTAGTTACTGCTTTTGCCCTGTTTCTGCCAACAAATCAATTCGAACTCATATGGGTAACCGAGTAGGCAAAGAATCGCGACTAAGAATTCAATGGTCACGGGTTCAAATCTTAAGCGCTGCAGAGTGTTCAATAGAGGCGAGCGTATGATCTAAGTTATCCGGCAACCTTGTAAATCCATACTCTGTAAATTTATTTACAAAATATATGGACAATAAACAAATAAAATAAATAGAATCAATTCGATGTCGACAGGACCATCGATCCTGTCAAAGATAGACCGCGAACTGTGATACGGCCAAACACTAAATTGTCAATTGAATTTAGAATGAATGAAATTAAATAATGCCCAGTGGGTACAGCCGCACTGCAAGTTAGCGTTTCGAGGCTTTGTTTTATCATAAGGTTCTAATGTCATTGCGTTGAGAAATCACGACATTGTGACTTTTGGCAACTTGCGAGCATTTTTCAGCCCACTTCATGATTTCTGCTGATTAGTACGAGCAAAGGCACCTTGGTTTTTCAGTTTCTTCGTTGATAGTAACGATTCGTTTAGCTAATACTACAATTATTTTAGCTTCGAATCGCTTAACGCAATGCG